GGACCGTTCGACGACGTCTGGTAGAAGCAGGGTTGTTCGGAAGAGTGGCTCGCAAAGTAAGTTGTTAAAGAAAGAACATAGAAATGCTCGTTTGGCGTTTGCACGTAAATATGGACATTGGACCTACGCCCAATGGCAACATATATTATTCTCTGACGAGACCAAGGTTAATTTGATTTCTTCAGATGGAAGGCAATACGTACGGCGTCCAGAAAAAGCGGAAATGAATCCAAGATTCACAAAAAAGCAGGTGAAACATGGCGGTGGAAACATTAAAATGTGGGGTTCATTTTCTGGACGTGGAGTGGGACCTGTGAGGAAAGTTCAGGGTAACTTAGACCAACATCAATACAAGGCAATATTGGAGGAAACGACGCTTCCCTATGCTGAGGAGCATCTCCCTATTATATGGACGTTTCAACATGATAACGACCCGAAACATACCGCTCGTTCAGTCAAGTCGTTTCTTACCAGTCAGTCAGTATCGGTGCTAGATTGGCCAGCAAATAGCCCGGACCTTAACCCAATCGAGTACCTTTGGCACGAAATCAAGATAAAAGGTGCCACTTATCGTACCACAACTTTAGATGAACTTAATGAAGCTTTTTGTGTGGCATGGGCAAACATTCCTGTCGAAATATGCCAGTAACTGATAATGCCTATGCCACATCGTTGTCAAGCGGTAATTACTAACAAAGGTTTTGCTACGGGGTATTGATTTTACACGTAATAAAATGGAGCTGTTAAAGATATTATAATACTGCAGATTATTAGTTTTGTTTAACTCTTATTTTTCATTATAGTTTACTGTCTTTAATTAAATGTCCAGCTACAGAATTATACCTTAAAATTGAATACATGTTCAACCTTTGATATAAAATACTTTTTTCTATTTATTTATTCTTTTATTTACAGCCATTTATAGCATAATAATCGGACCAAATTATGCAAATAATAGGTGCTGAGAAATGAATAGGGTTTTATATTTATACTAGCTGCCCCAGCGAACTTCGTACCGCCCTAAAAAAATAGGGGTTGTCCAGCGGACAAAATTGTGAATCTAAACCATTCTCAGATCCCCTTGAACACACACAAAAAATTTCATCAAAATCGGTCCAGTCGTTTAAGAGAAGTTCAGTGACATACACACTCACAGAAGAATTATATATATAAAGATGTACATAACCGGTTATTGCTCTTCACTATCTTGAAAGTCCCTAATTAGTTGACCACGACTGTATTTGTAGGTATGTAGGTATATTTATAGATGTTATGTATTATAATAAAAGCCTTTGATAGTGTAAGCCACCAATCTATCTGGTCAACTTTAGCAAAACAAGGAGTATCCGGAACATATATTGCGGTTTTAAGAGAAATCTACCAAAACAGTTCAGCAAAAATAAAGTTAGAATCACTAGGCAAAAAAATCGACATAAAAAGATGAGTAAGACAAGGGGATCCACTGTCACCGAAACTTTTTTCTGCTGTTTTGAAAGATATTTTCCGCAAGCTCCACTGGGATGAGTATGGGTTAAAGATAGATGGAAGAAGGCTAAGTCATCTAAGATTCGCAGACGATATTGTGATCTTCGAAGAAGACCCGAGGCTCCTGGAGAGAATGTTTCAGGAATTAACCAAAGAGAGCCTAACAGTTGGACTAAAGATGAATCCTGATAAAACTAAACTTCTAACCAACTCATCTAAAGTTGCTATTCAAGTCGACAATATCGCTTTGGAGTATGTGCAAGAATATATCTATCTTGGTCAAATTATTTCAGCCAGAGATCAAACTTCTAAAGAAGTGAACTCACGGATAGCCAATGGATGGAAGAAATATTGGAGTCTGAAGGAGATAACCAAAGCTAGAGACCTAAGCATATCACTGAAGAGAAAAGTATTTGATACCTGTATCCTGCCATGCCTGACATATGGATGCGAAACTTGGTCACTAACAAAACAACACCGAGATAAGCGCGAATACTGTCAAAGAGCTATGGAGAGGAGTATGTTAGGAATAACAAAGAAAGATAGATGGAAAAACGAAGACCTCAGGCGGAAGACCAAAGTAACTGACATCCTGACCCGAATAGACCAACAAAAATGGAGATGGACAGGCCACATGATACGTAACCAATCAGAAAAATGGAGTAAAGTTGTTACCAACTGGTACCCCAGAGATGGAAAAAGAAGCAGGGGATGGCAAGTTGCTAGATGGGCAGACGAGATTAAACAGACGGTGGGAGTTCACTGGAGAAGAATAGCCCTAAACAGATCTGAGTGGCGAAGATTGAAAGCAGCATTTCTCCAAAGATTCGAGCATCGGCTGGACATCCTGTAGAGGCTGGGGGAGGCCTTGTGTCACTAACACGCTACGTTTACAACAAAAGAAAAAAAATAAACTAATTTTGAAACAAATTTTGTAAACTTTAATAAAGTTTTTTTTATTTTATTTATGTATTATAATTATCATATTAAGTATCATGTAGGTTTTTTTTTACCTTTTGCTTTTATTTACTTTACCGCATGTCTCTGCTTAGCCCGATGGTAGACTGGTAGAGAATGCCATGTGGCATTAAGTCTGCCATTTGTTGTAAAATGACATTAAAGAGTAAATAAATAAATAAAGTGGGGAAGTCCAATGAGTCCATTTGATCCAAGATTCCAATGAGAGTGAATCCACTAGAACATGCCTGACTTGTACTGGTAAGCCTGCCAGAGCTTCTATCTTGGCACAATAACTATATAAAGACCTATTAAAATAGGCCTAAATATATATTTATTAAAATAAATGACTGAAAAAATTAACTAAAAGTTCAATTATATTGTTTTTAAGTGTTCCCTTGAAGGCCTTCAATCAGATTGATACCCGTGCTGGTGCTATTATGGCATGGCAGGCCTTTTTAGCCAGTAAATTTTTTGATGTTCCATTATCATTAAATCAGCTTATTAACCTAACATTTTAAATAAAATGGACATTAAACTATGAATATGAATGTAAAACTTTTTAATATGACTGCATTTCATATTAAGCAAATATATTATTCATATCATTCATATTTCCATTAAAAACAATTCAACTGAATATTTAATCTTTATAATGGAGACAGTCAGACTAAGTTTTTATCTTTATCAAAGTTGCAACAATGTCATGTAGGTAGGATATTATCATATTCCTTTATTATGATAATGACCAACTTTGATAGTGACATTTTTCAAGTTCAATGAGTCAAGCAACAAAATGGTAAATAATTTAAGATGTTTTCTTTATTCTCACTTAACCTACCTTTCCCACTTCACCATCTTAAAATTAAAAGCAATTATTTCCTTTATTGTTTGCATATAATCAAAATAAGATATAATATTGATTTAATAAGTATCCTGTGATCATCATCATTATCAATCACGTGTGCCTGTCTATATTAAAACATTTTAAAAATATTTAAAGTTACTTAGATATCCAGTAACCACATCTGTAAGTCATCATTTCTGTTAAAATAATGTTGTTTTTCATTTCAAACACATTATTATTAGACATTTTTTAACTTTCTTTATTTTCAGTTCTTATGTTTCATAGCTTTTATTTTAATTCTAGCAGGTAGTATTATCAAATAATGATAATAATTAATTGAAAATGAGATAACATTGTGTCCATACAGTTTTAAAATATATAAAGCATTAGTAGGATACTCAAGAAGGAGAGGAACACTGGGCCATAATATAAGTTTAATTTTAGTGTAGATTATGGACAGAACAGGATATATTTGTTCATGTGTATATATAAAAGGAAACTATTACTAACTGACTGGTCTATCAAAGCTCAGCAAACCATTGAATGGTTTCAGGTAAAATATGGCACACATAGTTTAGTAATATTATTAGCTATATCACTCAAGTGATTTACGCCGCCACCACTCCCACTTCCTTTTAGTCCTCTCCATCCAAAGGTTATCTGGAAGAGATTGCTCTCAGCGATAAGGCCTCCCATTGTTACACTAATTTTATTTGATTTGTACTAAATGCAATGTTTTCTGTAGTGTACATTTAAGTGTTTTGTATTGTATAGTAATTATGACATAATAGTATATTAAGAAAGGATTTTCTAAATCCAAGTACCCCCTTAAGGGTTAAAAGGGGGTTTAAAGTTTATATGAAGCACCAAGATCCCGATGTTAATCCTTTATCTAAATAAACAATTTATCCATGCAGATGAAGTTGAGGGCACCAACTAGTTTTTAACAGCATTATTAGAATACCAAATGTTGTTTGTATTTTGCTTTATGTTGCAATGAACTTACAAAAGCATATGGGTTACATTTCAAATTCCCTGTGTGTGAATATTAGTGTCATATTTGTAATTGAGTCTCCAACAATAAACATTCCAGAAAGGTCTTTAGCAAAACAGATAACAAGTGAACAGGTTCACAAAGCAGAAGTATTCTCCTAGGTAGGTACAATACAAAGAGAATGGAGAGGAGAGAACTTATTAACTGTACAAAGCTCTATTATGGACATTTCTTTATAAATGCAGCATATAAGTAGGTTGTTCTTATTACATTTCTGTTTCATTTTTGAGGTTTTAATATTATTAGATAAGCTTATAGCGTTAAATCGTCACCCCATTTATATGTTAAGACTTCGAAGTTGCTTACATGCATTTTAGCCTAAGAATGGACCTGTTGAAATTTTGAGGACTGTCTATAGCATATTGTAGCCTCTTATTCCAGCATAGTTTGTTAAATATCACTGGCACGATTCAAAGCGATTATTTAACAAGTCAAATGATGAGTGACGCGCTCGCGGCCTACCGATCTATTCTGAGGGCATTCAACCGTGTCATCACGACCTAGCAACACCACGGCTTTTCATAGTGGCCCTGACATCGAAAACAACAGCCTCCGGTTACTGGAGCATTGACTCTTGATGCCGCCAAAAAGTTTCGGCTCGCTATTACATATCATTATCGTTCTCGTATTTACTAACACAAACGTAGTCCCACTCACCTGTCAGATGATTCTGAACTGTCGTATCTGTCGAAACATCTCTTTTTCCTATCTTCACCCTCCTTAGCGTTCTCCTTACAAGATTTTCGGGAATCCGTCACGACGATCGCTGTGGAACGATTCGCGGCCACGCCGCGCGTATCAATTTTCTCACACGATTCACTCGTTTCTTGTTCGGAGTAGAACGTTAACTTCACTTTATCGACTTCAAATGTTTCTCCACTGCACTTTTTTGTGTCACCATGTCCAGGACCGGGCGCGGAAAAAGTTAAATCGTTCATTTGTTTCGGGCCAACGCGGTCCTCGGGCGACCCATCCGCCATCTTTGAGCGCACGAGTGTTTTGTACATAGTTTAAGTGCGACGCCGCGAGTAGCATGGGCGCTGCCATCGCGCGTTGCAGGTGCGGGACGAAGCGGGCGGGGTGTGACGTCACGGCGACTGCGCGGCCGCGGGGGCAGAGCGTGTGACGTAACGGCTCCGCCCCATGCATGTGCAGGGGCTCTGTCATTGGCCGCGGGTTACGCAACGCGCAAGCCTATTCAAATAGCGAGGAAGAAGGGAGCGCTGGGCCACCGATAGGGCCGGTCCCAACTCAGCCCGAAATGCATTTACACACGGCGCGGCATTATATTTCTATACTTATTTTTAGTATGGTCAAATAATAAGTTGTTGATATTTTGAAAGTTAATCCTGATAAATGAATAGATAACTCAACAGGTCGTTGTTTCTCTTACTGTAATAATTTTTTAGTTGTTTTACTAAGAATATTACAAAAAGTAAGCTTGTATGGGTGGATAGTCTGTAAAAACACTACAATGCAACAAATAATAATGACCGTGCTCAGCTGCACGCACACGCTGGAGTTGTGTGTGTGACTGGCTAGCGCGCGAACAAGTGTATTGAAATTAATGACATGTTTCACCCCTCAAAGTTAAACAATAAATATCTCCAGAAAGATACTATAGGTTATCTCGGTTTATGTTATGTGCTAAGCAACCTGTGTTATTTTTTAAGAATATCTAATCTTTATATATATAATTCTTCTGTGAGTGTGTATGTCACTGAACTTCTCTTAAACGACTGGACCGATTTTGATGAAATTTTTTGTGTGTGTTCAAGGGGATCTGAGAATGGTTTAGATTCACAATTTTGTCCGCTGGACAACCCCTATTTTTTTAGGGCGGTACGAAGTTCGCTGGGTCAGCTAGTATAAGTATAAAATTCTCGTGTTCTGGTGTACGTAATTAAACTACTCCGAAACGGCTCGACCGATTTTCGTGATATTTTATATGCATATTCAGTAGGTCTGAGAATCTGACTACGTGTATTTTTCATCCCCCTAAATGTTGAGAGTGGTCCCTTAAATTTTTTTTATTTTTATTTTTTTTATGATAAAAAAATACATACAACCCTAAATTTTCACCCTTCTACCACCAATCTCTATTTTTTTTATGGCGGTACGAAGTTTGCTGGGACAGCTGACTTAGTAGATTAATAAAAGCATCTGAGTAATATATTTGAGTACTATATTATTATAAATCATATCTCTAAGTCGATATGCCTTACAAATATGAAAGTTTATCCCAAAAGCGACTGAACTGATTTGGATAAATTTGGCACAAAATTATTTTATTACCTGGATGAGATATAGGATCCTTTTTTTAGCTTGGTAATATGTTAGCTTTCCATGGAATTATCAAACACTAAGACCTTAGATCCTCCTTTTTTAATGTCAGAAAATTGACACAAACAATAAAAAAAGCTGCTTAAAAAAAGTAGTTCCTTGCTTTTCCTGGGTCGATTTGCCTAATGAAATCTAATATCATCACCAGCATTTCAATAGCCGCACTGCTGGGACTTTGGCACAAGCCTTCCTTGTGAACGGATTAGGGAGATTGGATCATGATTCATCATGTTCGCCCAGTGCGGAGGGGTGGGAACTAACGACTGGAGATGCAGCCGGGACCAACGGCACATATTTCCCGGTTTCCGATTAAGTAAGTAAGTACTTATATCGTGATGGCAATGCAAGATTATAATATGGAGATTATACGATGATGGAACTGGAAGGTGGCAAAATGGGCTCTGTAATGAAGCAACACAACCCCGCCGAGTTTGGACTCGTTTAATTCTTCTTGACGAGTGCTGTGTCTTTAGGTGGTATCCAGCGTCTGATGATGGAGTTGGAAGGTGGCCAAAGTAACTCTGTATGAAACAACGTAACCCCGCCGAGTTCGGACTCCTTTATTTCCCCTTGACGAGTGCTGTGTCTTTAGGTGGTATCCAGGGTCTGATGATGGATCTGGAAGGTGGCCAAAGGAACTCTATAATGAAGCAACGCAACCCCGCCGAGTTCGGATTCGTTTAATTCGTCTTGACGAGGGCTGTGTCTTTAGGTGGTATCCAAGGTCTGAAGATGGAGCTGAAAGTGGCCAAAGGAACTCTGTAATGAAGCAACGCAACCGCGCCGAGTTCGGACTCGTTTATTTCATCTTGACGAGTGCTGTGTCTTTAGGTGGTATCCAGGGTCTGATGATGGAACTGGAAGGTGGCCAAAGGAACTCTGTAATGAAGAAACGCAACCCCACCGAGTTTGAACTCATTTAATTCGTCTTCACGAGTGCTGTGTCTTTAGGTGGTATCCAGGGTCTGATGACGGAGCTGGAAGGTGGCCAAAGGAACTCTGTAATGAAGCAACGCAACCCCGCCGAGTTCGGACTCGTTTATTTCATCTTGACGAGTGCTGTGTCTTTAGGTGGTATCCAGGGTCTGATGACGGAGCTGGAAGGTGGCCAAAGGAACTCTGTAATGAAGCAACGCAACCCCGCCGAGTTCGGACTCGTTTATTTCATCTTCACGAGTGCTGTGTCTTTAGGTGGTATCCAGGGTCTGATGATGGAACTGCAAGGTGGCCAAAGGTACTCTGTAATGAAACAACGCAACCACGCCGTCGGGCGGGTCTTGACGAGTGCTTTGTCTTAAGTCAGTATCCAGGGTCCATAACAAGCGGCGACTCATAACTGGACCCCGCAGTTACGCTTGGAGGGTGAGGGGTAGAAAAAAAGGGTCTGATGATGGAACTGGAGGGTGGCCAAAGGTACCTACTCTGTAATGAAGCAACGCAACCCCGTGAACCCCGTCGAGTTTGAACTCGTTTAATTCGTCTTGACGAGTGCTGTGCCTCTTGGTGGTATCCAGGGTCTGATGATGGAGCTGAAAGGTGGCTATAGAAACTCCGTAAACACGACATAACCAATCGAGATTGGGCTCGTACGGTTCGTGTTGGCGAGTACTTTGTCTATAAATGGTATAAAGGATCGGATGATGGAACTGGAAGGTTGTCATAGGAAGTCCGAAATAAGACGACACAATCCTATGGACTTTGGAATTTGTTTCGACGAGTACTTTGGTCCGAACTGGAAGTTGGCCACTGGAACTCTGTAATGGATGGACGTAACCCCATCATGTTACGGCTCGTTTGATTTGTCTTGACGAGCACTTTGTCTTTAGATGGTATCCAGGGTCTGATGATGAATCTGGAAGGTGGCCATAGGAACTCCATTGTAAAACGACATAACACCATCGAGTTTGGGCTCATAAGATTCGTCTTGTAGAGTACTTTATGTCTAGATGGTATCCAGGGTCTGATGGTGGAGCTGAAAGGTGGTTATAGAAACTCCGTTATAAAATGACATAACCCATAAAGATTGCACTCGTATGATTGTGGTGACGTGTAATTTGTCTCTAAATGGTATACAGGATCGGATGATGGAACTGGAAGGTTGTCATAGATATTCGAAATAAGACGACACAATCCCGACGGCTTTGGGCTTAATCGTTTCGACGAGTACTTAGGTCCAAATTGGAAAATGTTAAAGCTGAAAGGTGGCTGTAGGATTTCCGGAATGAAATGACTTTTGTTATGAGGGTGTATAAAGCAGAAAGATACTAAGAAATAAGTAAAAAAAGAACACTTTTTAACAACAAGCTTTTTGTTAAGGACTTGTTTATAATTTATTTATTTACTTATTAATAAATAAATAAAAAAAAAGTAACTAAAAAAAACATTTTCATAAGACAAGCTTGAATTGCCGACATGTTACAAGCTTTTATTAATAAAAAAAGGAAATCATGTACCTGTAAAATGGTATACCTATTTCTTATCAGACTTAAATTATTTTTAACTTTTTAGTTCTTTTTATTGGCACGCAGTTAAATCTTGCTTTTTTATCTTTTTTATTTGTTTATAACTTTTTAGTATTTCAGAATCGGAATTTAAAATATATCCTCCTTATGTCAAACTTGATGCCTGAATGTCATTTTCTTTTTACTTATTATGTTGTTCCCACAAGTACATGACATAAACGGTAGGTACATCTCACCAGTGGAAGACCAAATCTGATGGGGTTGCATATCCGCTAGGACCAAAGTACTCATCAAGACTAATGAAATGAGCCCAAACACGATGCGGTTACGTCGTTTTATTTAAAAGATCCGATGGCCACCTACCAGCTTCATCATCAGGCCATGGTTACCATATAGGACTTAAGTACTTATCAAGACGAATCAAACAAGCTCAAAGTCGATGGGACTGTGTCATTTTATTACGGACTTCCTATGGCCACCTTCCAGCTAAACCATCAGACCTTGGATACCATCTAGAGATAAAGTACTCTACAAGACGAATCTTAAGAGCCCAAACTAGATGGTGTTATGTTATGTTTTACAATGGAGTTCCTATCTACCTTCCAAATCCATCATTAGACCCTGGATACCATCTAAAGACAAAGTGCTCGTCAAGACATTTCAAACGAGCAGTAGCATGATGGCGTTACGTCGTTTCATTACAGAGTTCCTGTGGCCACCTTCCAGCTCCATCATCAGATCAGCTACATGGTACAATATTATTACATTATCACCACACTTACGTCGTTTACCATATTTCAGCTGAATAAGATAACAAGAAGTGGTCGAATAATGGTTCATAAATTTTAAAGCTACATAAGTATTAACATAAGTACGAATAGTGAAAGTTAAATATATTAAAAGCTTGTAATAATAACAAATTATATAAATCTGATTAAAAATACACCATTTTTTAGGAAAATATATCCCTTTTTTATAAACGGTTGTTATATTTTGCTGGTAAGAGAAATAAAATACTGGCCAAGTGGGAGTCGCAGTCGCGCACGAAGGGTGCCTTACAAAAAACCGCGAAAGGAAAAATCATTTCTTTGTTTTCGTTACAACTTACAAAGTACACTATGAATCAGTGTTTTCAGTACCTATATGTTGTTTAAATACAGCATTATATGGGACATCTTGAACCATATTTCACATTCCGAACTAGTTTCCATTTTGATATATAAAACTCCATAACAAAAATGGTCTAAAAAT